TCACACTAGATGCAATTTGCATGTGTGTTAAAAAATATATGCCAGAGGCGATCAATTCGTGAGCTGGTTGTTATTTCACACTAGATGCAATTTGCATGTGTGTTAAAAAATATATGCCAGAGGCGATCAATTCGTGAGCTGGTTGTTATTTCACACTAGATGCAATTTGCATGTGTGTTAAAAAATATATGCCAGAGGCGATCAATTCGTGAGCTGGTTGTTATTTCACACTAGATGCAATTTGCATGTGTGTTAAAAAATATATGCCAGAGGCGATCAATTCGTGAGCTGGTTGTTATTTCACACTAGATGCAATTTGCATGTGTGTTAAAAAATATATGCCAGAGGCGATCAATTCGTGAGCTGGTTGTTATTTCACACTAGATGCAATTTGCATGTGTGTTAAAAAATATATGCCAGAGGCGATCAATTCGTGAGCTGGTTGTTATTTCACACTAGATGCAATTTGCATGTGTGTTAAAAAATATATGCCAGAGGCGATCAATTCGTGAGCTGGTTGTTATTTCACACTAGATGCAATTTGCATGTGTGTTAAAAAATATATGCCAGAGGCGATCAATTCGTGAGCTGGTTGTTATTTCACACTAGATGCAATTTGCATGTGTGTTAAAAAATATATGCCAGAGGCGATCAATTCGTGAGCTGGTTGTTATTTCACACTAGATGCAATTTGCATGTGTGTTAAAAAATATATGCCAGAGGCGATCAATTCGTGAGCTGGTTGTTATTTCACACTAGATGCAATTTGCATGTGTGTTAAAAAATATATGCCAGAGGCGATCAATTCGTGAGCTGGTTGTTATTTCACACTAGATGCAATTTGCATGTGTGTTAAAAAATATATGCCAGAGGCGATCAATTCGTGAGCTGGTTGTTATTTCACACTAGATGCAATTTGCATGTGTGTTAAAAAATATATGCCAGAGGCGATCAATTCGTGAGCTGGTTGTTATTTCACACTAGATGCAATTTGCATGTGTGTTAAAAAATATATGCCAGAGGCGATCAATTCGTGAGCTGGTTGTTATTTCACACTAGATGCAATTTGCATGTGTGTTAAAAAATATATGCCAGAGGCGATCAATTCGTGAGCTGGTTGTTATTTCACACTAGATGCAATTTGCATGTGTGTTAAAAAATATATGCCAGAGGCGATCAATTCGTGAGCTGGTTGTTATTTCACACTAGATGCAATTTGCATGTGTGTTAAAAAATATATGCCAGAGGCGATCAATTCGTGAGCTGGTTGTTATTTCACACTAGATGCAATTTGCATGTGTGTTAAAAAATATATGCCAGAGGCGATCAATTCGTGAGCTGGTTGTTATTTCACACTAGATGCAATTTGCATGTGTGTTAAAAAATATATGCCAGAGGCGATCAATTCGTGAGCTGGTTGTTATTTCACACTAGATGCAATTTGCATGTGTGTTAAAAAATATATGCCAGAGGCGATCAATTCGTGAGCTGGTTGTTATTTCACACTAGATGCAATTTGCATGTGTGTTAAAAAATATATGCCAGAGGCGATCAATTCGTGAGCTGGTTGTTATTTCACACTAGATGCAATTTGCATGTGTGTTAAAAAATATATGCCAGAGGCGATCAATTCGTGAGCTGGTTGTTATTTCACACTAGATGCAATTTGCATGTGTGTTAAAAAATATATGCCAGAGGCGATCAATTCGTGAGCTGGTTGTTATTTCACACTAGATGCGATTTGCATGTGTGTTAAAAAATATATGCCAGAGGCGATCAATTCGTGAGCTGGTTGTTATTTCACACTAGATGCGATTTGCATGTGTGTTAAAAAATATATGCCAGAGGCGATCAATTCGTGAGCTGGTTGTTATTTCACACTAGATGCGATTTGCATGTGTGTTAAAAAATATATGCCAGAGGCGATCAATTCGTGAGCTGGTTGTTATTTCACACTAGATGCGATTTGCATGTGTGTTAAAAAATATATGCCAGAGGCGATCAATTCGTGAGCTGGTTGTTATTTCACACTAGATGCGATTTGCATGTGTGTTAAAAAATATATGCCAGAGGCGATCAATTCGTGAGCTGGTTGTTATTTCACACTAGATGCGATTTGCATGTGTGTTAAAAAATATATGCCAGAGGCGATCAATTCGTGAGCTGGTTGTTATTTCACACTAGATGCGATTTGCATGTGTGTTAAAAAATATATGCCAGAGGCGATCAATTCGTGAGCTGGTTGTTATTTCACACTAGATGCGATTTGCATGTGTGTTAAAAAATATATGCCAGAGGCGATCAATTCGTGAGCTGGTTGTTATTTCACACTAGATGCGATTTGCATGTGTGTTAAAAAATATATGCCAGAGGCGATCAATTCGTGAGCTGGTTGTTATTTCACACTAGATGCGATTTGCATGTGTGTTAAAAAATATATGCCAGAGGCGATCAATTCGTGAGCTGGTTGTTATTTCACACTAGATGCGATTTGCATGTGTGTTAAAAAATATATGCCAGAGGCGATCAATTCGTGAGCTGGTTGTTATTTCACACTAGATGCGATTTGCATGTGTGTTAAAAAATATATGCCAGAGGCGATCAATTCGTGAGCTGGTTGTTATTTCACACTAGATGCGATTTGCGTGTGTGTTAAAAAATATATGCCAGAGGCGATATATTATTCTGTTGCGATGGAGACAAACAATGTATTATAAATGTTTATTACAAATATATAAACATTTATGTATACGAACAAAAAAAAGACAATATAATATATATTTGTATAAATAATACATTGTTGTTATATATCCATTGATTATATCGATTGAAAAAAAAATTAGCTGCATTGCATAGATCGCAACTTATAGAAAGTTACATGATAATATTCAGAATATATGTATATATATCATACACATACATCTGTATACGTCTATGTACATATTATACATATACATATATATATACACAATTATATATATAACACTTAACCAAATGTTATTCCTCTTGGAAGATATATGGGAAGACACATAGCCCGTATGAACAATGTGAAATTATTTTCAAATATGTGATAAAGGCAGACAGTCTATATTATACTGTTATCTATACGCATAGATATGCGTGCGAGGCAATGGAGCAGTAGAAATACACGATGTTGTCCGATTTCAACATATTGAACACAATTCTCTTTCAAATATGCATAGAACATGCAAAAATATTCATATTGGTAACAGCGGAACTAAAATTATTGATATTATCGATAATTTCGGTCGGTATTATCGATAATTTTAGTTACGCTTGGATGAGGGCGCTAACCCGTCGGAGTTCGGCCGTCACTTTTGGATCCCCTTAAAAGTCTGTTTACTGTAAAATAACGATTAATGGTATACAACGTCTCGACACGATGAACTACCATACATTCAAATATATCGACATTTAACCAACATGAAATTAATTTTGATTTAGCAGAATGTTTGATTAAAAAATTAGAAATCGAATTTCGTTAAAGAATTGTGGTTTCTTGTATTATTGTATAAAAAGGGAAAGAACTAAAATAATATCGGATTAAAATTCATAAAATATTTAAAGAAAAAAGAAAATTACAATAAAGAGTTTGTATTATTACATCGTGAATTATCTTACAATTTAATAAAATTTTATTAATCATTTAAAATGTAATTTTTTTTTAACAATTGAGTGCACTCTTATAAAGTAGAGATTAATTTTTTTGTTTTGGAAAAATAAAATCTAATAGAAATCTCCAATAGGAAATATGTGGTATAAATAGGGGAATTATGCCATATCATGAAAAATGCTACCGCTCCGTAATTTTTAAGTTTTTTGATAAAGAGTACCACATTAATCTACGCAGTTGATCGTGTTTAGTGCAGGTGACGAAACGACAGTGTGCAGTCATTTCTTTATGCTATATTTTTGAATTAATCAACATAAATTTTAAAAATATGGCTTAAATCTTATTTTATAGTATTCAAAAATATAATATTATTGCTACGTAATACTTATGTGTTCAAGTGTAAATGGATCATTATTCTTAGTGAATCAAGTAACTTATTCGTTACAAGCGTGTTTTGTGATTTTCTTTATTTTTACATTTAATGTTTACGTGGGATAAAACGTTGCATTTATCGGAAAAAAATGACAGTTCTAACATTTTATCCCGGGATGCATGTATCGAAGTCAAATTACTTTCTGTGAAATCTAATCGCAACAAGTATAAAAGTTAGTGTTATACAACTTAATATAGTTATAACTATGTTAATTATTACGTAAAGTATTTTTAACTTATCTTGATTAATTCAAATATATAGCATAAAGAAACAACTCTGTACCGTATTGTCATTTGCACTAAATGCAATCAGAGTATATTAGTTGTACTTTTTATCGAAATACTTCAAAATTATGGAGCGGTGGCATCTTATCCAACAACTGGGTGAGATACTACATTCATAAGAATTTTTTTTTGTTATTGTTTAAATAATCTATATAAAAGAGAATGATAAACTCTTCTTTAATTATAACCAAATATTAATATAATGACAATAATATCAATTTGTGTTTTATTTTCTTTATAATTAATAATTACAAAGATATTTCCTTTCAAAATTAGGTATATACTATTCCCCCGAGTTACTCTATAGGTTTTCACTAAAATTATTGTTTCTCAAGCCAAGTAGTTATTTTTATACTCTTAACCAACATAACACGACACGACAATATATTCTTTCTTATCAATGCAAAATATCGTGATAATATTCATTTTAGTCTTTATGTGATGTTGTAGATATAATTTGATTGCGCATACATTTATACATATAGCGGGACCCTGATTCTAATCGCGCGCGCGTGTGCAATTTCAATTTGATTGCGCATACATATATATATATATATATATATATATATATATATATATATATATATATATATATCACAGATGAATATTTCGTCATGTCGTGTCTCTTATACATATACTATCACAATCTTATAAAAATAAATTCATATTATAAAGTATAGCGTGAAAAAATATACTTGACAATTTTTACCTAAATGTCCACCACATGTCGAAACTGATTACATTTAACCAAAAATCGCTTGTCAAATTGCAGAAATACCAGACTAGAGCTGCAACAATGAAATAAACAACTTTAAAATGCCGCTAATTGACAAGTATCATTATATCTCTGTAAAGATCTTTACTAAACTATAAAAAATGTTTTACTTTAGTTATAATATTAAGTATTATAATATTAAGTATTTATAACAAAAGTAATAAAAATAATAAATACGTGCCAATATTAAAATGAAAAATGTGTTATGATTTATATTATACTATATGATACTATATTATATAATACTATAGCATAAAAAAATGTTTATTTCAACTTTTATACTAAGAAATTATAACAGAGAACAATATAAGTAATAAATACGTACTAATATATTACGATTTAAAAGAAACATAACTCTGCAGAATTTTAATAGCATTTTAATATCATATAGATATTTATCCAATCAAAGTGAAATTGATTGTACATTAAAGTACACCAAGCACACAAAATTTCAATTTTAATATTAATCCTTGTGTTTTTAAAGTTTTAACAAACTGTACATTCGAGTTTTACCGTTAAAAAATAATTAACAAGAGTGTACACGAATAAGTCTAATGTATACATTGTATTGACTGCATTACTATATGATTTGTATTGTACTGTACCGCTTATAACGCAGATGGAATTTTTCTGACCTTTTATGTTGAATAGATAATCAATAACCTCGATCGTATATACGATAAATATCATACTGATAGATCTGCGCAGCATGAAATTATGTATGTTACGAAGCTCTGGCAGTGTAGAGTACACCAAGAATATTAAGATCAAACACAGCATAGACACTATATTGCTATAGAATGATATGGTTAACTCAGTTGACAAGATCTCATTAGTGAGATCTTTTATGATCTTATCCATTTCTTTATGAAATATTTCATTCGCAGCCTTCAAGCAGATAGAGGCATTAAATTGATCATCATGCACATTCGTCAGATAATATTTTGTTATTTCGATGAATTTGAAATAAGGATAAGAGAAATGTTTCTTCTGGGAACAGTTAAGTTGGCGCGGGTTTTGAACAATCAATGGACAAAATTCGTCTACCTTCTTATTTTCATTCTGCATCGAATCGTTCGAATAGTTATATCCATTTGAGCAAACATATTCATTTTCTTTAGCAATGCAATTCTTGTGAATCGAACAATTATTGAGAGGACAACAAAGTATGCGAATATAAGTAATATTATCGCACATCTCGCGTAAAACGATGTGATTTAACGATTGTGATTTTCTAATTTTTATTATCATCATGCAATAATCTTTGTTGTCATTTGTATCATTTTTACGCAATTCTGCTTTTTTATCATAGTTTCTCTTGGTGTACTCGCGCACTGTCAAATTATTATCTTTATTATCGTCGTTCGTAGAACTTGATTGAAAGGCTAAAGACGAAACGATGAGTAGAAGCATGCAAAACGTGAGACTGTTCCCACACATCGTCGTCTTTTTAAGTCGATTTTACTGTCTGATTCACAAACGATTTCAATTAATTACCAAGCTGAGATATGGAGATCTATCAAACTGGTGTTCTCTGAACAAACAAATATTCTTATCTTTGGTTGTTTTTGATATACAATTAACATTCTTTTTTATTATCGATATACAATTAATCTTTTTTTTTTATTATCGTAAAAACTTGTCGCGTTTCCACACGTCGTAAGCGTAAATTTTTCTGTCATGCCACTGTGAACCGAAGAACAGACTAAGTCGAGTTTACCTTGAATGTAGCTTTAAATAATTAACAAGACGATTATCAGAACTCAAGAGAGTGGCGGCAAAGCATGGTAGGTGAAGTAATATCTCAAGGCATGCTGCCCACCATGTTGTCCCCTAGAGAGAAAAAAAAAGTGAATCGAAACACAGGCGTTCCATATGAGCAACCAATGCGTTTTTCCGGGCGTATCCGTGCTAATTCGGTTAAATGCTTAATTGCTTAATTCCATTTAATACGTCTTATTTCCGAGCGACTCCGTTTGTCTCCGCTTATATAATTTATTTGCATAAAAATTTTGCATGCAAGAGTATTTTTTTATTTCAGTTTATAATTAGCTATATATACAATGCTTAAAATACTTTGTAAAAGTATATTAAAATAAATAAATTACTTGAATTTGTTGGATCATACTTTTTTTTTATTAAACATTCTGGCCATAAATATTCAATAATCTAATGATGAATCTCATTATTATTTACGCCTTCTGCTCGAGATTATACGTACATATTGTATGTACGTATATAATCAACGTCTGAATCTGATTTATTATCGCGATATCCTCGTACAGCGGAGTCTTATAAATATGAAAAACTATTTTGAGATAAATATAGTATCTTCAATGCAGTGCAATGTAATTATTCTTGCATGCAAAATTATTATAAATGAATATTAAATAAATTATATGCATATGTCGCAATAAATACGCAATGCGCAATGTATAGTTAATAATCTCTGGAAAATATCCGCTGGTTTTTTTATTCATATATAGAGAATATTTTGATTAAACGTTGATTAGATCAAACGTTTGTTTTGTAACATTAAAATTGAATCAATGAATTAACAACACTTTCAATCTCTTTGTAAAATGTATTTTTAACTTTAATTATAAACTTTAGTATGCTGTTATTAGATTCTTAAAGTGAATATTGTACAAACATTGTCTAAACGTTGTTAAGAAGCTAAACGCTTCTTATTTTTCACGAATGTTTCCTTTATATCTGCAATCTATTACTGAAAATAGTTAATATTCATAACAAATAGAAAAGAACATAGATGACGCACGCGAAGCGCGCGCGGCAGAGAGAATCAAGAAAGAATGAAGCGAATAGTGTTCTCTACTCTAATTGGTTTCGCCATTTTCAGATCAACTCATATATGTATATATATCAACATATATATGTTGATGTTGTGTGATAATAATTGTGTGTGTGTGTGTGTGATAAATACTCCACACTTACCAAAATATTATCTGAAAATGGCGGACTTCCGGTGAATTCTCTTTACTCTTCCTTGATTCTCTCTGGCGCGCGGTAATCAAGTAATGTAAATAATAATATAAAAGTACCGGAATCGATGATTAATTGAGTGTTGAAGATCTAATGCTTATGTAATGCAGTAATGCTTTAAGCAGGTGATTCGAATAATAAGCCTTGTGTGTTGACAAACTTCTAGAGACAATAACTTAAATTCGATTCAATGGTAAAATAACGGTAATTATGCAGATATAAGAAACCACCCCCGATTTTGATAATTTTGAAATATGTTATTAAGGTCATCATCTTGAGTAATGTTGTGGAGGTTTCAGCCAGCGCTCATTGTTTATTGAAAAGTTATTAACAAAAAAAGTTTAGGCAAAACTCGCACTAATATTCGTACAAATTATATCGCATTGATTCCGCTTTTTCATTATGGTTTATCATTGTATCTTCATAGAACTCGTATTGCATTTATTATATTATACGTATTATACTTATTGTTAGACTGTAACGGTAGGATAAATAAGGATCTCGATAAAGTAAGTCCGTGATTTGCCGAGAACAATATCATTAGCTCGATAAAAAACTAATTTCTTTAAGTCCCATAATATGATTTTGGAGCTTATGATTTAAATAATGCATGATATAACGATACTGTTTAATTCTTTCGTTTACTAGATCTTAAAAACGTTTATATCTCAATCTGACACATCAAGCACATTTCGGTTCTTCTCGTATTGGGATTAAACATTATGCATGATCTCTAAAGAAAATTATTTTATATACATTAAATTAAATTATTTATCTACATTAAATTAAATTTAGGCGTATAAGTATACTAAAATATAATTTTTTTATAGAAAATTTAATAATAGAAAATAGAAAATTTTTTTCTTTGTTCTTTGATTATTAAAAATGACATAAAGGACTTAAAGAGATAGTGTAATGTATCTTGATACAAAATCTATCTATAACTTTTGAATTGTGATCGTTACTTTTAACGAGCAAGCGGCATAAAGTTGTAGCGTTGTCTCATTTACATTAAACACTGCCATTTGCTTTAATTTAGCTACACATTGACGTCACGGACCACTTTAACTAGTGTTTAAAGAGAACAGAATACTGATAGACAAAAGAAATTGAAATAATTTACATAATTATAATATTAAATAATTCTACATTGCATTTATCACAATCTCGCATGTTTCGGCTAACAGCTTATATCTATTTATCTTACGACGCTCGTAGAGATAAATATTTTATTTCCAGGGTCATTATTAAAATGAAACTGCACAATGTTATCGCACGAAATCCCGTATGTGATGTTGCATTCAATAGCAAGATGAAAAGAGAAAAATATAAATAAATAAATAAATAAATATCAATATTGTTTTAATGTAATAATGTGCAATTTCTCATAACTGTGGTATAAATATATAATACCAAAAGGCTGTAAAAGACCATTTAATGCAAAGATAATGCAAGGAAATTGTACAAAAAGAATATTTGATAAAGAAAAGGGAAGATTGGCATCGTATCCAGAACACAGCATTACTGATCCGGCGCTCACTGACTGGACTGCGTAGATGTTAGAAATGCATCTTCTGTCTTATAACACACTACAAATTTTTCAATTTTTTATCTCTTTGTTCGTTAACACAGATAGTTTTTGAAAGCAACCATTATGCTCACAATAAAGTTCAGTTCGAACCATTTAATTTGATATATATCTGTTATGGTCTATCTCTTTTAGTTTAAAAGATAAAAAGGGGTGGTCACTTTTGATGGGACACCCTGTACATATAATATTTATATATATTTCAAAAATATATAATTATACATTTATACAATCATTTTCAAGTTCTACATTCTTTATTATGCCATGTATAGGATGGAGCAATAACTCTGTCCACCCGGAATATCTCCGCTATTTTTAGAGATATGAAAATATTGTAATTACGGAAGTTGCACGGTATCAAGAAAACCATAATATGCTAGCCATAATTTTTTTGTGGATGGAGACTTTGGAGATTTCAAGGTCATCTCCATTTTATTAAATGGCATATTATAAATATATTATACAAAAAACGGCGAAAGTGATCGTTCTATCGAGCTCGGATCGATTGTTAGAATATAATTTATAAATAATTTTTAAAAAGATAATATTTTTGAAAATATTATATTTGATGACAATTAATTTTTGTAAAAAACTGTTTTGGCTGGAGTAAATTACATCATTGAAGGTAAAATATGAAGAGTTTAATATCATTCTCAGAACCATAAATTCGTCAAACGGAATATTTGTATTAGGAGAGATAAAATTCCATCTTCCTTTTATGCCATCAATAGCCAGATCAAGAGGTACATTAGTAAAAAAAAAAAAAAACTACATCGAGAGAGATGAGTTCAAAATGATCATCTATCGTTATTTTGGATAATTTATTAATGAGATGAAATCTATTGAAGAGAACGTGGCTATGTGGCAGAGAAATACTTTTTTGTTTATGTAAAAACGTAGCTTGAAAAAGTAGAGCTGGTTATCGATAAAAAAGACAATAACCCTGAGGGGTTATGTATCTTAGGCAATCATAGACTCCAAGTAATAGGGAAACGACGGAATGTAAACATCTATATGTCGACATAATGATAAATTCTCGGTCTCTCCACTTCGTCAACAAGGAATGTAAATCAGTTATGATTTTATTGACAGGATTGCGTTTAACAATCATATATGTGTTTTTATTGTTATATAAGCATCTCTTCCATTTTTTATTGATATAAGCTGATTTGTCTAAAGCAATCGTAATGTTGTCAACGCGTGTAAAAAAACGTTAATTTTGTTTCTAATAAAATTTTTTGTGATGGTCAATGCTTGTAAAATGTCTTTGTCAATATCATTTATGGAGTAACTATGGTGTAATAAGCTTTAAATTAACTGCTTTTATACCTTTTCTTCTCTTTTCTTGTTTTAATTATCTTTGCCTTGTCGATCTCTTTTGATTTGTACTATATTGTTTTCTCCGTCCGCACGGCAATTCGTCATACCATATAATGTGACGGTTCTACAGCTTCGTCGAGTGATTTGTTCTCTCTCTTGTGAAGAATCTTGCATTGGTGAGTCTTGATATTTTATTTTTTTAACTTTCTGTGTTCAGCTTAATATTATTTCACCATTATATGAAATAATTTCTCTATGTGGCTTTGAAATTTCCTTTTCATTTTATGCTGCAAATTTTTGGTACAATTTTGTTGGTGGATAAAGAACTTCGAAACTTGCTGACATACTGTTACAAGGTTTCAACAACTTTAAGAACAATTTATCATTAATTTATTCTTTAATTTATTAAATTTGTTGCATGGTTTTTGTTATTTAAATTTGACTTTATTTTATACGGAAATCCGTTAATTGCTTTTTCTGTCCTTTCTAATTGTTGTTTATGTTTAAAGTTTTGAAAGTTCGGCGATATTGATACTGCGATTTCATGTTAGTGTTATTATAATGTCTTAATAAATTATCAAACGCATATTGAAATCAAAAATAGAATCAATTATCTGTACAAGGTACAATTACCGTCTTGATTTGTGTCATATTAATTAAGATTTTTCATTGTAATGACTGTTTGTGTGTGCAAGATTACTTACAGTTAATAGTACTTTTTAATATATTGTTAATTTATTCGAGACAAATTCAAAAGAAAAATGTTGGTTTTATAGAGAGCAAATAAAAAAATATTTAAATCCTTTTGCTATGATATCATTGAATTATTATAATCATTACGACTTTATAAAAATGGATAACAAATATAAATATCTCCTTTGCACAATATTACACACGTCTAGAAAAAAATTATATTATTACCATTTTAAAATATTTTTTCCCAAAAATATGTTATTATTTTAATTATGGCAACTATCAATGCTTTTGATCGAATATTTATTACAGAAATGCAGAACAATGATATATATTGTTATAATTAGAACTAAACTGTATTTTCTCTTTTTCTTCAATACTTTCCATCATAACTTGATCTTTATTTTCATATATCATATTATTTTTAATTATTTTTTTTATGTCATCTTAGATGTTTCTCCGACAATTGATCATTAAAAAGTTTATTCTTTCTATTCTACTTAAAATCTTAAATTTCTACTTTAGTTTGACGTCATGAAATTATAATTTAATAGCTTCACAATAATAAGAAATTTAGAGTTAAATTCTATTGATTATAAAAATTATTGTTCATGTGTATGTATTATATTATAAATATATTATAATATATATATAAATATTATGATTTTTAAAACACGAATATATATATAGGGGAAAATTGGGTAAAACCGGGTAGGCGGGTCAAACCGGGTAAACCTGTTTTTTCGTAATATGTGCTACTATTTATGGCTAACTAGTGTTATTAGTTGTAGATTGGTGCCATTTTGTGCAAGATTACTTACAGTTAATAGTACTTTTTAATATATTGTTAATTTATTCGAGACAAATTCAAAAGAAAAATGTTGGTTTTATAGAGAGCAAATAAAAAAATATTTAAATCCTTTTGCTATGATATCATTGAATTATTATAATCATTACGACTTTATAAAAATGGATAACAAATATAAATATCTCCTTTGCACAATATTACACACGTCTAGAAAAAAATTATATTATTACCATTTTAAAATATTTTTTCCCAAAAATATGTTATTATTTTAATTATGGCAACTATCAATGCTTTTGATCGAATATTTATTACAGAAATGCAGAACAATGATATATATTGTTATAATTAGAACTAAACTGTATTTTCTCTTTTTCTTCAATACTTTCCATCATAACTTGATCTTTATTTTCATATATCATATTATTTTTAATTATTTTTTTTATGTCATCTTAGATGTTTCTCCGACAATTGATCATTAAAAAGTTTATTCTTTCTATTCTACTTAAAATCTTAAATTTCTACTTTAGTTTGACGTCATGAAATTATAATTTAATAGCTTCACAATAATAAGAAATTTAGAGTTAAATTCTATTGATTATAAAAATTATTGTTCATGTGTATGTATTATATTATAAATATATTATAATATATATATAAATATTATGATTTTTAAAACACGAATATATATATAGGGGAAAATTGGGTAAAACCGGGTAGGCGGGTCAAACCGGGTAAACCTGTTTTTTCGTAATATGTGCTACTATTTATGGCTAACTAGTGTTATTAGTTGTAGATTGGTGCCATTATTATTTTAAAACAAACCGTGCCCCTGCGCACACGATATTTCTTTTTTAATAGAAGTTCAAAATTTTTTGCCCAAAAAAGATCTATATCGAGGCAAGAATCGAATCGTTGTGCATTTTTTCTATATAGAGCATCTGTTTCGGTAAATGCAGCATTGCATTCTGTACATATTAGAGAGTATATTATATTAGTTTTGATCGGCATTTTGTACGCCGGAATATACAACCGCCGTATTTGTTACTTTCCTTGTGTTGGGGTAAAACCGGGTACTTACACATCTCATGTAATGAAAAGAGAAAGAACTGTTATCCTGACTTTGTCTCCCTACAAAAAACAGTTGGAAACAAAAACTAACATTCAGAAAAAGAAACCATTAAAAAAAAAGTTTTTGAGATCCCTAAAGATAAAAAGTTAAAGAAGGAAGTCCTGCAGCAATGTCGAACAAGAAGATATTTTTATTTGTGATTTTTGTCAATAGAATACATTTTTATATTGTATTTTGATTAAAATAAATCTAGATTTTGTGAATACACGGTGTTTTGCATATTTTCAAATAGGTACCCGGTTTGAGCCTACCGGTAGGACAAAACCGGGTACTTTGACTTTTCCACAAAACAATTTGTTGCCGGTTAGAAACTGATAAATTTCTGTTTATGACTTTTTTATGTCAGATTATTGTAAGTGCCTTAAAAATCGTGGCGACCGTTATTACGAGGACCACCCTGTATAAGGCGCGTTCCACTTAACGACCGCAATGCTCGCGAGCATTATCTGTCTTTGTTTAACTTTCGGTGAACAACAAAGATGAAATGATACGACTGATGCCCCACCAGCCATAGAAGAAGAAAAAGAAGATGATGAAATGATACCGTGAGCGTTAATGGAAAGGGGTAAAATAGAAGATATATAAAGAGTGTAAATTCACGATCAAGAACAGTCCGTTTATTATTCTGGTGTGTACGATTCTGTTCAAACTCAGTGAGTCGCAGTCTGTCGGTCCTTGACGACAATTCGAGCTGAGCCGATACTCGCCAGGTATATCTTTCGCGCTGCTGTTTCTCATCTCGCTCGTATCGCGTACGCTTTATTTCGAGTTTCTCACTGAATTTGGCGAGATACTACCGTGTCTCTTGATACCAAGAAAGATGAAATAAAGTAATACAATTTAGTATATTTTTTATTTGTATCTTTTTTATTTTCATTTATGGTGTATCAAGGGTCCTCTGTGATATTGAGAATTTGCAGAGCTACTAGTTAAAAGATACTGGAAAACCATAAGCTCGACTATAAGACACTTTTGACGGTTGACGAAAGCTAGAAGAGGCTGAAAATATATGTCTAATAGAAGTCTGTGAAGTCTGATAAAAGTATGTGTCTCTAACTGATTGCAAGATTGTATATACGAGATATTATTCTCTTTGAAATCTTACGATTTTTCAGAAGAGAAAAATATCGCTGCGAATCGCAAACATGACGAATACATATGAGAATAAGCCGTTTTATTACTCTCTGAGCAACGACAGGCAGGAAGATGAGGTTAGTATTTCTATTGGAATTCTTTTTTTTTCTAAATCTTTGATTTGTTTGCGATAAGTAAACAAATTCTGGTGACTTACAATTAATCAAAGACTAAAATATTATTTATATATATGTTTAGATTGTCATATTTTGTTATATTTTTCAGTATAATTTTCTAACATTAAGAAGTACTACTTTTGTGATGTGACTTTATTCTTTTTACAACGTAGCGACAATTTTCATTATTTTGTGTTTTATCAAACTATATAATACTATCAGATTTTATCCAAATTAATGAGAAAGTAATTATCTTGCATATTAATTGTTGATTTCAAATATTATATATATATAAGTTGTTGGTTTTCAGATATAAGTTGTTGGTTTTCAATATTGTAGCTTTAGAGTTTAGATTGTAATTTATTAGGTGTACAAATAAATAATCCAAATTTGTTAACGAAATTCAAGGTTTATTTTAAAAGAAAGCGAAACAAATTTTTCTATCAAAGAGTATACGCTGTTGCTTTTTATAATTTTAAGCCATCTTTTAGGCAGCTGATAAATTCCATTTTGAAAAAATGCTGTGTCTTTGGACATGATAAAATCGCCAAGTCATTTTTGTATCTCATCCACTGATTGGGCATTGTTTATCGATCAGACTAAAATCGCCGTTTTCAAACCGTCTAAACCAAAATGCGCATCGTACGATATAACACCTTCTCCAAGAAAGGAACAAATCGATTTGCATGCTTTTGCAGCATTTTTTCCTTGTTGGAGTTCGTAAAGAGTACAGGTCGGACATGTACGTTATCTGTTGCCATTTTTGATTCTACTGAATAAACTGAATATTTTTTAAAGTTATGTCGGTACTTACGCCAAATTAAATGTTATTTTTAATAGCTATATGTTAATACTACATAAAAGCGGAAAAATCAATTGTTTTTAATGCACATTATTTAATAAAATTTAACAATAATATGTTCGATACCTGCGATTTGGCTTTTATCTATTAGTTTTAACACTTAATTGTTTTCACTCTGAGCCTATTGCTGTTATTAAAAATCAATTGATTTTAAAATTAATTTTTTAACTGCTTAAAGAAATTTGGATTATTTATTTGTACACCTAATAATTTGATTAATTTATAGCCTAAAGCCGAAAGCCAAATAACATTTATTATTGCCAAAAACTACAAAGTTTTAAGTCTTTCGAAAGCTAAAATAACATTTAAAAGATAATTCCATTTTGCGAAGAGGTATTCCTACCTCTCATTCTGTTTATGGAATTGCTAGCTCACTAAACGCTGCACATTATATATTAGTTATCGCATTGGAAAGAATTGCTAATTTGCATCCTGCAGTAAGTAATCACATTATACTTATAAAAGAAAAAGTAAGTAAGCAATATACTTTAGTCACATTATGCATTATTTTAGTCACAAAAAAGGTTGAAAATAAGAGATCTCTTATTCTCTTTTCTAAGTGCTTAAATAATATTTTTAAAAGATACAAAATTCAAATGCACTCCTTCAATTATGTCCATGACATCATACATACTTAAATAAACTGAACAGAATTTAGTTAATTTTTTGTTATAGTATAGGAAAAGTAAGAGATACTGCTAAAACTTGATTGAAGGAAAAGACATATTTAAAAATACATGTTTTATATGTCGTTAATAATACATGTTTTATATATCTTTAAAAATACATGTTTTATGATCTTCTAATATATGTATACAGATATACAACATAAAGCTCATTAAAACTCATTAAAATTGTAAAAGATTAGCTTCATATTTGCTTGTTAGATAAAATATAACTTGCGCTGTATTATTGCACTAACTGGGTTTTTTTATCAGGCGACAAATGTTTATATGGAACAAATGTTGGAAGCTTTCAGAGGACAAGGAATGGAAATTTTTTGGCGGGACAATTTTATTTGTCCAAGTGAGAAAGAATATCGGACAATGGCAATGAAAAGTCAATATTAATACTTATATATATATTTCTTTGTGAAATTAAAAAAATTACATTTGAAAAAAATTGAAATATCAACTAATTTTGCAGAGATTGGAGGTTTCTTCAATTTAATGATCAAATTGATGAAACTCTTCTCTATTTATGAAGAGGATTTATCATCGCTAGGTATTATTTTGGGATTGCATTTTCAAATACGTGATGATTACGGAAACTTAAATAGCGATAAGGTGAGTAATAATATATCTGCGACATTATACATAATACATAAATAAACTGAAAAGAATTAAAGTAATTTTTTGTTGTAGTATACCGAAAATAAAAGTTATTGCGATGACTTGAGTGAAGGAAAGTTCAGCTTTCCCATTGTTCATGCGCTTACAACAAATCCTGATGATAAGCAAATAATATGTATCCTTTATAAAATACTTTTATATAATACCTTTTTTTCATTTACAACAAAAATATTTTTGTTAATTAATACACTTTATTTACTATAAAGAAATGTAAACGGCCTCACACGTCATACACATACAAAAGACATTTTCAGAAATTTTATGATTTATGAACTTTATTATATATAGATTTCCTTAATAATGCCTGATACAGATATTCTGAAACAACGAACCAAACAAATCGAAGTGAAACGTCATTGCGTTAAATTGTTGGAGAAATTTGGTTCGTTTGAATACACGAAAAAAGTACTTGAAGACTTGGACGTGAAAGCGAGAGCTGAGATAGAACGTTTAGGAGGCAACCCGCCTTTGATGCTTATTTGCTAGACTCAAGCAAACTTTCTTTCCTTTCCGCGAGTCCTTAAGTTTGATTAGCCGAGATCTTGATAACTGTCAAGATTGGCATTCATGCTTATTTGCTAGACTCAAGCAAACTTTCTTTCCTTTCCGCGAGTCCTTAAGTTTGATTAGCCGAGATCTTGATAACTGTCAAGATTGGCATTCATGCTTATTTGCTAGACTCAAGCGAACTTTCTTTCCTTTCCGCGAGTCCTTAAGTTTGATTAGCCGAGATCTTGATAACTGTCAAGATTGGCATTCATGCTTATTTGCTAGACTCAAGCGAACTTTCTTTCCTTTCCGCGAGTCCTTAAGTTTGATTAGCCGAGATCTTGATAACTGTCAAGATTGGCATTCATGCTTATTTGCTAGACTCAAGCAAACTTTCTTTCCTTTCCGCGAGTCCTTAAGTTTGATTAGCCGAAATCTTGATAACTGTCAAGATAGGCATTCTCGCTTATTGCTAGACTCAAGTAATCTTTTCCCTTTCGCGGGTCCCCAAGTGTGATTAGCCGAGATCTTGACGTAATGTCATGGTTGACATTCATGCTTAGCCGCTAGACCTGAAGAAAAACCTTCTTCCATCATTTTTATAGTAACCCCCATTATTGTAATTTCTATATTAAATTTTTTTTTATTAAGATTTGTTTTATTTAAAATTTAAAATTTTATTTTGTTTTATTTATTTTATTTTTCTGATTCCTTTAAAAATAATTCTCGAACTGTTTCTTTTAATTAATAGGTAAATCTTTACTAATCATGATATATGTTTCTTAGTAGAAATCACGAAACAAACCTTTAAACCTATGTCTGCGAAACATTTTAAAGTCTTGGCGAAAACCGCGAAGAATAGGAAAGAATCGAACGATACGGAAACTTCTGACTCGGGCGTCCGCGAATTAATAATTTTTCTATCCTCATCTTTCTATTCACACTTTTATTTCAAGTAATTTTTCTAAAACTATTTATTGTAAATTTTCAACCGCAATTTAAATTTTAGTTTCTCCGTTTAATTCCGGTTGATGTCCTCCGTATTCATTGTAACACCCGCGAGAACATAATTTTCTTTTACCTACATTCACGCACACGAACACAATTACACATTAGAATTTAAGAAAATGTATTTTATTAATAAGATTTCGTAAATCGAATTAAATGTTCCTTTATTAAATTTCATCTGTTTTAAAAATCGAACTTTCTGTGCGAAACGAGGTCCATCCTACATCATTAACTGTACTGAGGCCTTTCGTAATGCTAATTACCATCGACGAGATACTATTAAAGATTGTCAGCCTTGGGTAAATTTTTGTGACCATCAAGTGGCCCCGGTGGGCCCGGAGATAATTGAAGAATGTTGACATTACCGGCCGTTTGATTGCATCAAAGATAATTACACAAATTATTTAATTCATACGGTTATTTTATTTCATCCAGTTATTGTTTTATTATCGAAAACACCGACGAGATATCATTAGAGACTGATAGTTTTATGGTCTTTTCCCTAAACCATGCGTGATAAATATTCGAACAAAGGTCCCCTAGAAGACCAAGAATTTTAAACAGCAACTAAAAGATACTCGAAACATGAGAAGGCTCGAAATTTAAACAGTGCACATGCAAGAGACAAATAAATAGATCAAATAATATTTTTTTTTGGAAGTCCTCTAGTGAAAACGCGTTATAGGAAGAGTCTCGAATAAAGGCCCCTCTAAGAACTAGAGTGATATCTTATAAATGTAACTATGATCCGCGACTGAAACTCGCGACATTCGACACCACGTGCTCGCCTGCTAGATCACCCTTGCGCGGTATCTGCTTGAGATAAAACTCAAGTGAATAATAAAACTGTCAACTTGGCCGATCATGGCGGACTCTCCAGTGGACGAGACTTAATTTTTAATAACAAAAGCCTACACCAATAGGCGCAACCTCTTGGACCTTCTTTTGGAAGGGAGGCGCCCTCAACTCATGAGAGGGGCACCATTTTAAAGATTGATTCGTTAAAAAAGAATATTGCTTGCCTAATGGAGAGGGTACGCGAAGAGACGCCAAGATTCGATGTACGCGAAATCCTCCCTCAGAAAAATTAGTTCGTCTTCGCCTCTCGATCCGAAGCCTTCTACCGAGTCTGCTTTTAACTTTCAATCAACTTTCAATTTTTGTCTTCAGTTTCCGATGCAGTAAATACTCAATTCTTAATCTCCACGGTTCCTTTTTCTTTCTTCGCGCCTCTTACAGTTGTGCGAGTGCAGAGTGCGGTTTCCCATACAATCAAAAGACTTAGAATATCATTGGTGATAAGTGATATTCAGTGTCAAGTGAATTAACATCACAATCAACATTACAACTGAACGAATCTCCGAGCCACCCTTTCCGCACAGCCGAGTCCAC